TGACAACCCCTCTTCTGCCGAGGGACCACAAAGAATATGTACTTTAGTGACTCATGTTCCATTGCGTTTCCGGTGGTACGAGGAGTGGAAAAGTAGGACTGTGTTCCGAAAGAGAGAATAACGAGTTGGCCTGGTCGGTAGCACCCTTCTGCTCTGTCTGTGTCTCCTCGACTGCAATCATCCAGCGCTCACCGGTTTCCAGGTTGGTCTGCACCATATTTGCCTCAAGCTTCCCATTGAATGAGGAATTCCAAGCACACCTCAAGCTTCTCGTGTCTTTCACAATGCGCTTCACTGATCTTTGACCTAAGCCTTGCACCACATCCACCTCAAACTCGCACCCATTCACATTGTAGCCTGAGCCAAAACGATGAAGAACTTGCGAAACGCAACTGGAAGGCAAACCCTTGAGGCAAAAAATGAGCATTGCCATGCCAACTCGCAAAAAAAAGTAGCACATGGCTGGGAGCCCGAACGGACCACCGGCTGCCCCGAGTTCAGGGCCATAAAGAGCTGGCGCTCCGCTTCCTGAAGGGAGAAGATTCGGCGACCTATTTGAATAGCTCTGTCCAGAAGGTCCCACAGCTGGTCCCACAGCTGGTCCCTTTTCGTCGCCCAGACACCGCGGCTTTTGGACGCTGCACCATCCAACTCGTCAGAGTGGGACGAATTAGGACCGTCGCCGATCCCCGCTGCTCGACGCCCACGATCCCCATCACCGGTGAGATGCGACCACATCGCCGGTCTTACGATCTTCAGCAAGTCCCTCAAGGTAGGCCCACACCCATGAGGGTTCACCATCCGGCGGTCTAGTCTTCAGGAGCTCTTCAATTGCTTTATTAAAGCCGGGCATCCCGTAGAAGACCGGAGTTCTGGTGAGTGGATCGTGAAAACCCAGTGTAAACAGCTCTCGCTCAGGCTCGTCCTGCGCAGCTGGCATCTTCTCGACTGCTTTAAGCCCAGCTTGTCCAGCTTGCTGCTCTGGACCACTGGAAAGGGTCATCTTTCCCTCAGACTTCGTTTCACCTGTGCTATCCAAAACTTTGCTATGAGTTCCAGGCAAAGCAGTTCGAGGCTGCTTCCGCAACTGTGAGCTCGAAAGTTTGGCCTGCACCTCTTCAGACTGTTTCTCTGGCTGCTTTCGCTTGAGAGCTGTCTTTGCCGGGGTTGTTGCTGATTCTGTGGTGGTCGTGGGGGCAACGTGGTTTTTTTTCAGGAGCGCTTGGTTTGGTGTTCGGACTCGCCTTCTTGCTTGAGCTTGAGCTTGAGCTCGAGCTCGAAGAAGAACTGGAAGGGCTGTTGGGAGCTTTTGGACGGCTGAAATCACTCTTTCCCTCCACAGACTGATTCATTGCATCACTGCTATCCCTCTCTTTGCCCTGACTTCCAGCATTCCCTTTGTTGTTTGGCTGCAGCTGCACTTTGAGAAATTCAGACTGCTTCTGAAGGCACTGTTTATCTTTTTCGAGCTGTGCACAGTGTTTCTCAAGATTCAAAAGCTTTGTCCGCAACTTGGAAGGCTGTGATAATGCCTCTTCAAGTTGTTGCTGATGCTTCTGCTGCTCAAGCGCTTGGCTATCCTGCAGCTTCAAAAATCTTGCCTCCGTCACTTCAAACTGCTTCTGAAGACTTTCTTTCTCCTTTTCAAGCTGTGCACAGCGTTCCTCAAGCTTCGAAAGATTTGCCTTCAAGTTGGAAGGCTGTGCCAAGGCCTCTTCAAGTCGTAGCTGACATTTCTGGAGCTCAAGTGCATGGCTATCCTGCAGCCTAACAGTTTTCGCCAGAGCCTCTCCTGATTGCTTCTGAAGACTTTCTTTCTCCTCTTCAAGCCGTGCACAGCGTTCCTCAAGAATTGAAAGCCTTGCCTGCAATTTGGAAGGCTGTGCCAACGCCTCTTGAAGCCGTTGCTGGAGCTTTTCTCTCTGTTCCCACTGCGCAGGTGTGTCTTGAAGCTGCGTCTGTAGCACTTCCTTCTCTGCATTGAGCCTTTTGCAGTCTGCCTTCAGCATCGCAAGTTGTGCTAAAGCTTCACTCATCTTCTGTTGCAGTGCCTCCGTCTCGAGCCTGCTGCTTTCCTCCACCTGCGACAATTTCCGTTCTGCTTCAGCACGCAGTGCATATTGTTCTCGACGATATTGTTCAGTCGAATCATAGAGCTCCTTTTTCACCAGAAACTCTGCGTTCTGTGCCAAGGCTTTGTCAAGCTCTTGTTGCTGCTCTTTGAGCTGCAACAAAAAATACTGCTCCTTGAGCTGAAACATCTTCAACTGCAAGCGATATTTTTCGGGGATGGCTTCTCCTGGCAGCTGGAGCCCATAGCTGCCATGGCACTGCTGCTTTTCCAAGTGGAGCCCACAAGGCTCCACATGCCTTACCTGAAGCATGCCACGTCTAGTCTCTGGGCAGCGGCAGCCTGAGTGGAGCAGTCCGTGGACATGGGCGTGGGCGCACGCATCCTGAGCCAAACAATTCACCATGCAATGCCTTGCACACCTTAGACCTACCTCGGTGTGTAGGAACAAGTAAGACAAGACCCAGTTCTTCAAAGGAATGTGTTCTATTGTGTTCTATTTATGTGCGAAAGCTCTCTTTATTTAAAAAAAATAAAAATAATAATAATAATAATAATAATAAACATACTGTAACATGTTCTATTGAAGCATACTTTTGGGAGGTTCCATCCAGAGTGGAGAATGGGTGTTCGATTCCCACGCCGGCTTTAAGCTCCAAGTCTGCTGCGTCGTTTTTCGAGCTCCAAGCTGCCGGAAGCGCAGAGCTGTAACGTTTCGGAAATGGAAGGGTGGATACCAAACCCTACGGGTCAGTTGGACTTCATTTGACCCATCTTGAGACAAAAGCACCATTCAAGGAGGTAGTTAGGACCAGATACTGGGTCAGACTGGACTTGTGGATACCAAATCTTGTGAATGTTTGAGACAAAAACAGCGCGACGGAAAACTGCGTCCAACCCTCTTCGAGGTCCCTGCGTCCAACCCTCTTCAAAATCCCACCGCAGTCTCCTCTCCAGGATCCAGCCACGTGCTGCCATCAACACCTCGAGGTCCAGTGTCCCTTCATGTGGCCATCGTTTCGGCGTTCAGCGTGGCCATCTGTACAGAAAACGACATGCTGGTTCAGGCTTCCCTTTTAGGTCCTTCCTCAGTGAGAAAGAACGATAACTATCAGACACTATTGCTAAAAACATGTACAAACTCACCAGACAAGGGTGACCCCGCAAGCTTGTGGGAAAAGGCTAAGGAAGAAAGGTTGGTGCCTGCGGTGCAGAATCGTTGCGAGTCGTTTTCTGATGTCTTCTGCTCCGTTCAAAGAAAACGAAAGACAACAACATCAAACCGGAAGTTGAACAGGTCGTCACAAGCCGAGTCGCGCAATTCTTTCCCACAGCCATCGAGCAAACAAGTCGGATGCACAGAGTTCCATGCTTGGACCCTCTCTGTAATCTTGTCTTGACAAGTACTGAAAGTTGAACCCACCCGAGAATTTCAGAGAACACGACCCGTTCTTAGGGACTTGATGCCGGGGATCTTCAGATCGCCATCTTGGACCGCCCGTCGTGGTGCTGTCCTGACCCATGGTGGGTTCCTTCACCAATCACAGATTTTCCTGACCCATGATTGGTGAACTCACTGGTATGTTCGCATCCAAGGATTCTCCCAACCCGTTTAGTCCATCGGTCCACGTTCTGAGTCTCCACACTTCCACACTCACTGGCTTCTTGACTTCCCAGACCTACAAGGAACGAGGTGCTTGAAAAGGCAAAGGAGCATACCACCATCTATATAGACAATATGAGATACCTGGGATTCCTGGCCAACCATTGTTTCAATGGTCTTTACCGAACGTACTAAGGATTTTAGACGACAAAACCAGGTCGACCATTCTTGAATGGTCGAACTGAAAGCTAGGCATATGTGTAATCTATTGCAGAAAAACAGTAAAGCACTCAGGACATCAACGAAAGTACAAGTCAAACCAAATCCTCTACCCACCAGCGGGGCGCTGAGTGGATCGCAATTACCCAGAGATCAGACTAGATCGACAGGCGGATCGCAGGCAGTTGGCAGAATGATCATGGAAGAGGTCAAGTACGGGGACGTCTTGCCATAGGAGCATCCAATTGGTCGTCTATGTTCCTTCCTTTTCTACAAGCAAACTGTTCTGAGTCCTGAATGTGTTGTTTGCTGTTCACATGCTTCATCAAAAACCGCTCATGGACCCATTCCTCTGACTCGGCCTCCAGAAGCGTCGCTCGAATTCCTCGAAGCGGGTGAGACACACACACAGGAAGGCATGCTTGGCCTGTCCATGAACAACCCACCAACAAAGCAATTTGCACCAACACCTCTTGACGATGGCGGAAATGCTGCGGCCACCGAAGTGCATTTTGGGGTTCCGACTAGCCTTGTTATTTCTGAGAGGGTTGATTAAGAGGGTTGATTACTTGACGACCTCTGAGACTGACACCAAAGTCTGCAGGTTCAGGTCAGGCCATGCGTTCACCCTTTTACAGGTAGGCGCTCGCTACTCATCGGAGCCCCCGGAGCAGTCGTGAGCATTTCACGTTTGCGGGGTCTTTCGAACATCCTCTGAGGTCCTGGCCAAACAATCCGCTTCCTTTCTCCCGTCTCCAAGTCGCGGTGTTCCTCGCTTTGGCGGGCCACGACACGTCCGTTCGTGTGCCAGGCTGGTGTCGGTGGCCGCAACTGCCGGTGTGTCCAAGCAGAAACCATTCTGGATGGATTGCTTCCCAATTGCAGCCACTTGCTAGCGGAATCCAGATCTGGCGTTTTCAAGCCATGGACGACTGGGTTCCAACCAGAACTGTTTCTGGTTGGGACTCGGTTCCAGGTTGGAACCAAAAAAATAACCAACACGTCTTGAGAAAACATCGATGGAACCCCTCACTACAAACTCACCAACATCCACCCAAGATTCCAAGAGACCCCCAAACGGGTCGCCCTTGGCCACGGCTGCCCCTCTCACTCGGCTTCCCTGGCCCAAACGGTCAAATCCACTTCGAAGGTTCTGCCCTCGCGCAGGCAGTGCAGGCACATGGACCCGCACAAAAGCACCAGGACCATCCTGCTGTCCGAAGCTCACAAGTATAGTGTAGAACAAAATGAGCGACTTTTTAAGAGAACTCAGGGACTTACCACTTACAAAAATATACATGTATACAAATAATGTCTAATGTCGTACGAAATATTGTATTATATGCCATTATGTGCATAGTCTTTGGGCTGTTGCTTGGGGGTGGAGTTCACAGAATTCCACTGGCTAGCAAAGACTCCTCAGAGGCCCCATCAAAGAGTGATGATTGCTTTTGGGCCTGCCCCATACGCCATACGCCAACAAAGTACAAATATACAGCCCTTTGCCACGCACGGACTGTGCGCTCGCCTTCAGGGCATAGTCCATTCGTTGCTCACCGCAGTACCAGGCCACCAAGAGCTGTGCGGAGATTTCGTGATCCAAACGGACCCATTGACCTTCGCCTTCCTGTGGAACAGTGTGGGGCGTGTTGGACGGGACGGAAAGGTGAGAGTCGGCGGTCGCAAAGTATCCACGGCGGTCGCACTGGTTGGTCCGGTCCATGTGCGGATGCCCAAAATAGAGAAACAGGTAGACCAAATTCGTCGGCGGTCGCAACTAGTTCCATCAGTCATTTCATGCTTCGAATCCGGAGAAGTCTCCCGTGTGACGACGGACTTTGGACTACAACACCGGGTCTGTCCCATACCAGGGCCCCCTAAGGGGTGTCCAATAATAGATCTTTAGAGGTTAAGGGATGTCCATTAACCACCCCTATCCGGAACCCCTGGTATATATGAAACGGTCTGGGAAGGCTGAGATGTTCACAGCTCCAGAAGACCCAGCTCGCTCGAGTCGGTCGCACCGCGGGTCAGGTTTTGAGCGGTCCAACCCGCGGACATCGGAGCAGAAGATCGCTTCGGACCTGGACCTGGAGGACTACAACACCCGTCGTTTTTGAGTCCAAGACAGTGTCAAAAAGGTGGGACGGTCGACCAGGTGTTGTAGTGTATCATCCTTCGTTTTCATGGAGCGAGCCGTGAAAGACGGTTGAATCAATGGTGGAAGCCCAACGGGGCCGTCTCCAAAGGTGGATCGCGTCTTCTCCAAGGGCCAAAGGTATGGACCGATCGCATAGACTGCGATTTGAACCGAACCTGTGTGTCGGTCTCCCTGTTTGAGCTACACACCTCGAATACCTGGCCCTCGAATACCCCACGTAGTGGAAGGGGAGGGGGTAGTCGAAGCAGATCGCAAGTTAGGTTAGAAGCTGGAGCTGGAGTCCTGGAGTGGTGATCCTGCAAACTAGTGGGCCACCACTCCAGCTTTGAAAAGGTTGCATTTCCCTAACGGAGTGATCCACTTGTCAGTGCACAGTGTTCTCCACCAAAGAGAATCAAGACCTCCCAAAAAGTACATCTTTCTTGAAAAGGCCTCCTGTCCCAAAAAAGAACGTTGAGCCATTCACCCACCCACCCTCAGCCATTCACCGGCCTCTATGAGCCATTCACCGCCTCAGACGCGAGAGTGAAGTGAACCGCGAGGTCGCGGCTGCAGCGTCGCTGAGTGAGGCATGTGATGAGGCGTCGTTCGTAGCGTCCGATCGCTTGCCCTTTGTTGCTACTAGTAGCTTCGTGCTACTAGCAGCGATGGCCTCCAACCTACTTGCGATGGCCTCCACCGAATAGCGTCCTTGCTACTAGCAGCTGAGGCGTGGCCAGTCGCGCTCGGGCGATCGAAATTGGAGAAGCTCTCCCAGGACGCCCAGGTCAGGAGTGAGTTTGAGGTGGTTAGGCTGGGATGTGGCATGTCTGGGATAGGGTTCCCAGCATTTCCCAGCATCAAATAAGCAATTTGAGAACCATCTTTGCTGGGGGCTCAGATTTGACCCGGCAGTGCGGCACAGCATGTGAACGGCCTCTCTGTGTTGGTGGTCTAGAGGGGCTTGGAATTGCCCTCAGCTGCTGAAGGGTTTAGTACAAGCATCTAACCCAGACCTTGTCCCATTTTCCCCCATCCTGAGATCTTAATCTCCCTGGAATCCTGAGATCATCCTGGAATGGGTCCTCAAAATCCTCCTGAAGTCCTGCCGAACGCCTTCGGTCTGGCTCGACTCTTCCGTCCCGGAGCTCCCGGCCGAGGTAGACCTCTGGCGCCACCGGCTCCTGGCGATCGATCCCGGCCTCCCAACGAGACGTGGGTCCTTTAGATGATTCCAACTAGCCTGTGGCACTATGGACTATGGGCCCTTGAGTTCCTCATAGAATCATCAAAATCATCGGAGGTTTTTGGAGGGAGGCAGCCTGCAAGAAGGTCTGGTGGCGCGACCTCTTGGGGAGACCTCTCTACGGTAGACCCCTATGGCAATAACCCTAAGAATCCGGACCTGAACCAAAGGAAGGGATAGCACAAGCATCCAAATCCCCTCTGAATCCGTGCCCCACCATGGAGGGTCCAAGGAGGGTCCATGGAGGGTCCAAGGAGGGTCCATGGAGGGTCCAAGGAGGGTCCATGGAGGGTCCAAGGAGGGTCCATGGAGGGTCCAAGGAGGGTCCATGGAGAGTCCAAAGGTCACCACCACTTCAGTGCCGCAGCCGCACGCTCCGCGGCCTGCACGTCTTGCGCCGCCGCGTTGGCGTCGAAGGCTGCCTCGAACCAGGCGATTCGGCATTGCCTCGGCTTCGGGATTGGCGGTTTGTGCCAGCTGTGCCAAGTGAGCAGATCCATCTTTCGTGAGAAGGCCGGTTTTTCTGCATGCATCGGTCGGTCAATTGAGCCCAAAAAAGGCTGCGGTCGATTGCGACCCATGACCAACCAGAACCGACCCAACCAGAACAGTCGTTGGCAACGAAGGATTTCGACTCGTCGCCCTGAAGAAGCGAAGGAAGCAGCTGGGCTGGGGACCGTCCAGTCTCCTGATGGGTCTGGAGTTGGTTGTAGAAGTCCACGTGGAAGCTTCCCGTTGGAAGCAGGTACTGTGCCTCAAAACAGAAGCCAGGACAGGACCAGTTGGGATGATTTTCGATGGAGCTCCACATCAGGCAGAATGAGTACCATCTGCTCAAATTGGTCACTGCAGTTGGGCTATCAACAGCTGCTAGCCCATCCCCCATGTGAGAAGATGTGAGAAGTGGTTTCAGATTTGCCTCACACCCCTCATGAGTCTTCCCTTCTTGCCTTCCGGAAAAAGACAAAAACAAAAAGAAAAATAAAACAATCCAGGATGAAGATCGATCCGTTGCATCCATTCGCCAAAAAGAGCGTCCCCGCAGATGTGACCCGCATCGTTCGATGTCGCATGATCAGTAAGAACAAGTGATTCCAAACGCTCCCTTCGCAGCCCGACCGGTCCCTCCAAACCATAGGGGCCATAGGGATTTGAGAGTCTGGTCCATATGAGGGTCCCTGGTCACGCTGGGAGGGTAGCGCGAAATACCAAATGGTGGTTGGAATCCTGGGGCCACTACACTACACCCGCCGTCTTCACCCCAGGATCCGACGCCGCCGCACCATGGCGTAAGTCAGTCCCCCCGCTATCCTCTCGCGTGCTCGCGTGGCCGATAAGTGGAACCCGTGCGCCTCAACTTGACCGTTGCAGTAGGCCTCCAACAGCTGTGCACCAATCCCCTGGCAGTTGGTGGGAAACAGGACTGAGGAGAGAGAGTGCTGTGCAACGCGGCAACGCATAAATCAAACAGGAAGTCGAGCATATTGCCAATACTTTGCTCGACGATGTAGTGCATCATGATCTTCTATTCACCCATGATCTTCGATGGCTTTGGAGCGGTGGTCGTATTTCTTACACAAAAGACGACCACCGCGCGAAGGCACTACCGGGACGAGAACCGAGAAACGCACAGAGGCGATCTTGTTACTCATAGCGATGGCCAAACCGCAAGCGAGAAAAGGGCGGTCCCACGTGTTCCGGGCTTTAAAAGGTTTGCCGGGGCCATTTGCAGGTGGAATTGGAATCTGCTGATTGAGGTGTCCGACGATTCCAGTCATCTTCCATGCGACGGTGGGTAGTTACGTTCGCTTTTGGGGCAAAATCGTCATGGAAAGTGGAACATGGTCCCTTAGACTCCGATGGGTGGCGCGGAAAGCCCACCTATCGCCAAACGCGTTACCTGGCACGAGTGACAAAAAAAGCGTCCCTTAGAATACCATGTTCCTCTAAGGTGGTGCCATCCACTTCCACGATGATTCCAGCCGAGTGTAATGGAATACCCATTTGCCCGGCCTGGATGAAGCCTCACGGCTCTAGGAGATGACCACAAATCTGTTCAGGTTTCAGATCGGAACCCCCAGCAAGTTCGGACAGGCTGGGAGCCTCCCACTTCGTATAACGCGACATAGGGGCCAAGTTCTCACGTTCTACCTCAACTCTCGTTGAAGCTGCTCGCGGCTTCCCATGGTCGGCGTCTCGCACGAAGAAAACAGGCGCCGTCGCCCATGCATCGAAGGGCGCCTGGTCGAGTGGTATCCACTCGTTGGGCGCTTCCTGAGGCGGCACAACCCCGGAGCTGGCGGAAGAACTCGGGGGATCTGGCGATTCGATGGGGGCCCTATGAAAAGGTACAAAAATATAATGAAACACGAAGGGGAGGCTGGGTCCAAGACGTCTCACCTCAAGGCACAATCCACCGCCCTGCATTCCACGGGGTCCTACGGCGTCCACTTCTCAGACCGGCCTCAACTCGCCATTCTCCAGAGGGGTACGCCGCCTGCAGCACCACAGAAAAATGGGACACCCAATGAACATGCATGGACACACTCAAAACAAGCCCGCGGGCTTCCGTGTCTGCACCAGCACAGAGCTCCACGACCGAACCTTCCCGCACCTGCGCGGTCTCATCCGAGGGCTCAGCCGTCTCCGCCGTCCACCCCTCCTCTTTGGCGAAGTCGTACTTTGCGGAGGTGGACGCAGCGCAACCCATGGCATCACGGGCTTAACCCGTTCATCTCGGGTTGAAAACCCGGACCGCCAGCGGGGCCCCTGGTGTCTGGCTGGGATGTTTGTGTGCCTTTGGGGTGTTGGAGGTGTCTAGGAGATCTTTGGGGTGCTCAAGTGAGAAACGACATGAAAAGCCAGCTGCAACTGGATGCGTGGCATGTCCAAGTCACTGACATGGAGGTCGATGGCACCACCTGCTTCTAAAGGATTTCATGGTCATCCAAAGAGCCATGCCATCCACTTCTACGATTATTTCAGGGCGTGTAGCTGCTTTCCTACTCGATATGGGTGTGGCTCAGCTCAGATGCATCCATTCTGCGGAGACATCTGCCAGCTAGGTGAGACCCTGCATGTATGGAGATGGCACGGGGCTATCCTGAAGCTGCTTGTTTTGATCCACGCCTGCGCTGTTGTCATCAGGTGTTTCCAGCGTCGCAACAATCAAGTGCCCCGTGAGTACCCCTGCAGATGGCCACATGATGGAACCCGGTCGAAACCACGGGGTCAATTCTCAGGGTCTATGTTAGTCTGCGGGCGGAGGGCATCAACGAGAACTTCGAAACATGTCCAAGGACAGGATCCAAGGAGGGAGGAATCGATCCTCTTTGCGGACAACATGATGTGCAACAAAATAATGACCTCTTGGACCATGAATAGCTCGGCATAAAAAGGAACAAATGGTGGTTTAGATACGTTTACCTTGGGAAGAATCTTGGTCTTTTCTCCTCCAACAGCCATCTCTCCAAGCTGACTCGGATCGAAGAAGTGACTTCAGATCCAGAAAGCATCCTCACTAGGTCCTTTTCCTGAACATCGACACGGGCTACGACCCCACTGGACAACCATGGGTTTTTTCATGGGAGCCCTACCCTGAACAATCATTGGCACTCAAGACCTCTTCAATTCAAGATACTCAATCTGACACCGAATCCAACATCCGTTTTCCACAGCGGCGCGGCTCATTAGCACGAACTAGACTTCTCAGCAGCAACCACTTCGCCCCGAAGAGAAGACAAAGCTCACTTTGAAGGGTTCTGGAGATGTTGAGGTGCTTAGACATAGCTGATATGGTGAGTGTATTCTTAAGCTGGCTGAAGTTCATGACAGGCTGCATTCACTGGAGCAAGCATCTAGCATATTCTATCTGTATCTGTCTGAGATGTTTGCAAACATCCAAGACATCCGGTTAGCAGCCTTGCAACATTTCAACGCTTTTTGACTTAGTAGGATCCATTTCTTCAACAAATATCAATGGGTTCGCCAACCGATGAAAGGCATATGAACAGTTCGCAAAGGTTAGCAGCAAGGCTCCTTGGAAGCGTTCTAGACTAGACAAGGAGGTTTGTCGTCACCACCTTCCCCAAAAGCCCCTATTAACCTTGAAGAGGTGGAGCCCTGCCAAGTGTTTGCCGTTGATCGTGGTTTCTATTCCGTTTGCTATTGAGAGGGGGTGCCACCCGGGCAAATTTTCGGGTCGTTCTGAAGAACCAAACATTCTGCATCCACTTCGGAGCTGGGGTCAGGCTGCATCCACTTCGGGGCCAGGCCTGCATTGGCGATGCCTCAAGTTCTGCCAAGTAGGTCTGCACCCCGTCCGCCCGGACCCGGACTCGGCAAATGGAGGGTCTTGGTCTTGACATGCTGAAATTTCAGGTGTTCTTTTGTTGCTCAGGTGTCGTGGTTTCTTTTGGCTGTGGACTGCCTGATCGAGTGGACCCGTGTTCCGCTGTCTCAGCCACCCTCCAACCTACTAAGCCATGCTTTGTGGCTTACAAAACTCCACTTCGAGGATCAGAATCTCTCCATCGCCTCGCAAAACGAGCTCAGCGTTAAACACGATGACATCGATGATATCTACCCCCGAATACCAAACGGACCACATGGACCCTGCGAATGGACCCCGTGGTTTCGGCCGGTTCCGAATACCAAACCAGTTGTTTTTTGGGGGGTCCATGATATGGCCGTCTGCAGGGGAGTACTCTACAGCTCAGAGTCAACAAAGTGAAATCGGCCTTGCAGCTCGACTCCGACTCCACATCTTTTTGCTCTTTTCAACTTCTGCAAGTTGAAGTGTCTCACCCTTTTCCCTTCCCACCATGCCCACCATCCACATCCGGTCCTCCTGGAAATCAGCTTCCTCGATCCATCCACTTCCATTGAGGTCCATCAACCGCGCTGCGCGGTTCACGTGGGCTGCGCTGGCGCTCCCACCGAAGATGGCCAGCGCTGTCTCAGCCGCCTGTGGGAGGGTCGTATGATGCCGTCCGCGCCGGTAAAACTGGGTGAGCCACCGGAAGTTTTCCGTGGAGGAAGGCCAAACTTTTGGCTTTTGGCTATACAGTATGATTTGTTCAAACCAACTGGTGACCAGTGCTTGTGACTCTTGTGGCTTGCGCCTGTCAACCCAAATATCACGAGTGCAGCAGCTGGTCTTTCGTCGTGTTGCGCTGCGGTTTGGGCCGGTGAAGTACTCGTGGGTGGTCTTTCCTCCCTATCTCGTCATTCGATGATCCGATCCAATGCACCACTAACAGCAACAAGTAGGTGCTCGAGGCTGCGAATGAGGTGCTTCGACCACATGTTCATGTAGCTGTTTTCTTTTCGAGGCACCGAATCACCGGGTAAAGAAAGAAAGAGAGAAAGAAAGAAGTCGAATCAAGTGCCTGTACACATCCATTGAATTGGAACCTGAAATCATTGGCTATTGGTCCATTCTGCGGAGTGGTATGGGCTCAAAACAAACGGCGCTGCCAGCGAAAGCTCTGCTTTTGCGATCGCGGCTTGATCAAGCTTCGGTATGCACCGACATGCGTCACAACACACCACCCTGTACCAGCAACCGTCACTTTCCACATTGGGAGAGGAACGTGTTGGTGTGTTGCTCTTGCAAATTAAAGCATGGCGCTGCCATACTGTACAGTGGCCCAGCCACAGTGCATTGGCTCTGCCAAGCTAGATGGTGCCACCATCTTCTTTGATTGCTCCTTGCGACGCTCTCGTTGTCCCTTCCGTAGCTGCTTCCGGTGTTCCTCCGTCGCCTTCTCCTCCGCGGTCTCTTTCAAGCTGATGGTCTTTCTTGTGAGATATTCTTCCCACAACAGATTGCGCATGGCTTTGGTGAGGCCATCTGCGTGCTGTCTGTGTGTGGGGACCCAGTACAGCTTGAACACCTCTTGTTCTAGCAGATCCTTGGCCACCAGAAGATCCAACATAGTCTGGCGTTCTGAAGGAATCTGCCCTGTCGTGCACATGTGGTCGTACAGCGACTTCGCGTCCGTAACGACGCCGCCGCCTACCCTCAGGCGTGCCCGCCATTCTGACCCAACCTCAAAGACTCCATGCAGCATCATGTCGGCAATGAGGCGGACGTAGAGGTGTCTGTCCACCGCGAGGCTGAGTGAACAAGATTCCGCGGCCATTGAACTCCTGACAACCCTGCTGCTTTTGTTCGTCGTGTAGTCCACTGCTGCAGCAGGTTGAGGGCCCTTCAAGACTTCCTCGTTTGTCAGGAAGTGTACTGCCCCAAGTTGTGACTTCCCGTCCTTCTCCTTGCCGAGGGACGCGTCAAAGTAAGTCACCACAAAAAGCTTGCCATGTATCTTGGGGTATGGAAGCACGGCACGACCTTGCTTTGCTTCCTCCTTGCACTCTTCATAAAGTTGCAATGCCGCCTTGTAGTCACCCATAGTGGCTCGTGTGGCATGTTGCGCCAGCTTGCTGACCTTGTACAGCACCTGAGGCATCGATTGCTGACCTGGCCATCGTAGCCTCATCACCAGCTGTCTGTATGCTGTCAGCTGCTGTGGATTCAACGGAGTGTCATTCTTGGCACTGAGCTTCATGTCCGGCAATGCGATCTTGCTGATGTAGTTGGACATGTCATCGTAAAGCTCCCCATGCCGTTCCTTGAGATCCACGCCCAAAAAGGTCAAGGGAATGGACTTCCACTCCTTGATCGTAAACATGCCATTGATATCTTTCTTGAGCTTCTGGAAACGATTGTCCTGCTCTGAACCGAACAGAAGGCCATCATCAACATGAAGGTTGAGCAGTGCCCACGCTTGGGTGTCGTCAGAAGCCACGAAGCTGCTCTTGCTGATCGGCAGTTCTTTCAATGGTGTGGATGTCAACAATTTACTCGCCCTCAAGTACCAGAGTCGAGGGCTTTCAACAAGACCGTAGGCTGAGCGCAAGATCTGCATCAGCTCGCCACCACCCACGGCTGGCTCTTCATCCACTGCTGGCAATCCCTCCTCAGGAGCTCGCACATACACGTTGCGTTGCAGATTCTCTCCTGATAGGAAAGCTGTGGTCACGTCAAAGGAGTATCCCTTCCAGCCGTTGCGAACTGCAATGGCCTTGGAAATCCTCACCGCTTGCAGCGTGGCCGTCGGGCTGTCACTCCTGAAATGGCCGAGGCCAGGATCACGGTGTCCGGAAACAACCAAACGTGACTTTGCAATCAGTGGTGCCAGCAGCTTGGTTTGCTTGTTGACTCGCACCATTCTCAGAGGTGCTCGAAAGATCTGATGACGAGGAATCTTGGCTTCTTCTGCTTTGGATAACCGCTTCACCACACGGTTGCGAATCCATTGTTGCCACTCCTTGGCATCAGATGCCTGGAACTCTGCCTTTTCCTTCTCATCAAAGTATTTGGGATCCAATTCCTTGCCGTTTTGCTTGAGCTTCAACACCATGACCTCTGCCAGAAGATGGTCATGTAGATCTTCCGCCCAAAGATGCTCAAAGATGCGGCGTTCCTCTGGATCCAACTTAGCTTCGTAGAGTCCATCCGGCAGCTGAATGTAGGTGGAGTGGTCTACAGTTGCGGGAGAGTCTTCCTTCAGGAAGAGGGTCATTCCTCTCCACGTGAATGGTGCCCTCCGTCTTGGATTCTTCAAAGCTTCTTCGGAATCCTCTTCCACCATGAACACATTGTCCGGCTCTTGCCCCATCAAAATTGTCACCCCGGCACGCTTGCGAGGTCGTTTCATGAATCGCTTGCGTGGATGCCGATGGAGTCGTGCAGCTGAAATCGGAAGACCTGTCAGCTGTCGCAACATCTCCACTTCATATCGGGTGATCCATTCATTTGCAGGGCCTGGAGACACAGCCGATACCAGTACTTGCATGAAAAGTGCCGTACTTGGTCGTGCTTTCTTCAATGGGAGTTCCTGTGTAGTGGGTGCTGACATCTTCCGTTTGATGCTATAGGGGACATCATCCATCAAACGCTGTCTTCGTGCCTCCGTCGGCATTTGTGCCCACTCTTGAGGTTCTGGTGGCCTTGGGGGATAAGGTCTCACAGTTGGTGAACTGTCTTCTGGCGTGCTCAGACCATCAGACTCATCCTGAATAGGAACTCCATCTCCAGCTGTTGGGCCCTTGCTTGATGACGAGGGCGCTGCTGCTTCGGAAGGTCCTGGCTCAGCCAGAGGTCGTCTTGGTGGCGCTGCCACTGATGCAGATGCATCTTCCAAGGCCAACCGACGCCTTGTAGCACGCTGTGCTGGTTCTGGTGGCGCCGCCACGATGTCTGCGGGAGGAGGAGCTTGAGGATCCTGTGGTGCTCGAGGATCTGACAGTGCTGGTTGCACAGGTTGATTCAGCTCCTTTCTCTTCCGCCGCTGAGGCATTTGTGCAGGTCGAGGTGGTTGATCTCTCACCGCCTTGGTGCCTCGAAGAATATTCTTGGCTCTCAGCCTTTGCGGATCCTCTGGAGGTCGCGGCTCCCGCTTCTTCCTTGGCCGTGGAGGAGGAGGTTTTGCTCTGAGGTCCTGGTATATGTTTGATCTCGTAGGATCCCTGAGCAACTCTTGGATATCCAGGACATCCTCCTTCACTGGCTCTGTGAGAGCAAGCTCCTCCGGCGTGGCTAGCCTCATATTCTCTTGGGCCAGTAAAAGAAGTCTGCCGCGCCAACTCACAAAGTACCTCTTTTGCTGCTCCTGGACAAGCACAGTGGCTGGGCCTCTCCATTGCCCTCTGCCGCTTGTATAGCGCTTGAATTGTGGAGTCCAAAAGTAGATCTGGGCACCAGACATGAACGGACCAGCAGAAGTCGGTGGCTTGCGCAGCAAAGTCCTGCGCAGCTTGTCCCGAACATCTTGTCGGATGAGTGCCACCCTTGCCGTTGTTCTCATCTTGTGTGCCCTTGCGACTTCGCTGTCAGTTGACAGTCCTTGAATGAAGCTCATGCCAACATCTTCAGAGTTCAAGCTTGGCCAGCGATGTTCAACACCGAAAACACGCTGGTTGGGTGTGTAGCCATCTCTTGTAATCGTGGCGTTCTTGGCCATCACTGCGCACGCAAGTGCCCTCTTCATGTCCTCGTAGCCGGTGATGCCATGTTCATCCACGATAGCTTGAAACATCACACCCAATGTTGCTCCATGTCTCTCTCCTGCGCCAAGCTGCCATGCAGCGTGGGATCCCGTCACTCCGGATGGGATGGCGAGGTCCTCCAGGAGAGCATGGAAAGACTGTTCGAACTCTCCGCCCTGATCATGGGTGATCAGAGAGGGGCATCCATACAAAGCCACCCAGTGTCTCAAGAATTTATTTGCCACGTAATCAGAACGTCGGTTCTTGAGCATCACTGCATCGTGCTTTATGGTCCCCAGGTCCAAAATGCTCAGACACACGTACTTCTTCTGCCGAACATCGTAGAGATACTTGAGGTCAATGTGCAAATGAACATTGAATCCAAAAGGTCGCGTAGTGGATGTCTTGGGGGTTTTCGAGCAGCACAAATTGAGCAGTGAAAGCGACTTGCATAGCGTAAAGCATCTTGGCTTGCACCTCCAAGCTTCAACATTCGGACCAGAGAAGTCCGTGTAGGATGGCCCAATTGCCGATGAGCGAACTCCACTGCCTTGCGGGTTTCCGAGCTCACCGGATGACGTTCATCGTCTTCGGGGCCTTGTGGTTCCTGGCCATCGAAACGCAAGCTGTCATCCAGCTGAGCCTCTTGCTGGCTCTTCTGCTCTTCCAGGAAGTCTTCACCTGTCATAAGGTCAGGGACCGTGTCATCGATCTCATAGTCCTCCGTATAGGCCTCGTGAGCTTTGGCCATGAGATATGTTTCGGCTCCCTTGAGCATAGCAGTACACAGTTCCTTGGGGTAGCCACCGGCATACTCAGACAGCGATGCCCAAGTGCCTTGCTCAGTCTGGTAGCCGCCTTCAATGACATGCGTGATCTCCCGGACATAGTTTCCCTTTCAGCTCTTCAAGTGCC